TCGTCGCTGACTCAACACGTTTGCAGAGCTCCGAATTGCAGCGGGTGCGCGGATTTCTTAATTACGTTGCGCAGACTTACAAGGCTCTCGTGCCATTTATTACAGGCTTCCATCTCATGATCGATGGCTGGCGTCCCAATCGAGATCTGCGAGGTTGGAGGATGAACTCCAAGCAAGCTCCAATCGCAGAGAAAGATTATCCAACCGCTCCCAAGTTCGTCAGAGCCAAGCCCCGCCTAATCAGCGACATCAAGTGTCTGATTATCCTATGCAGCTCACCCAAGCCGCCTCTCCGCCGGGTGAGACCACTGAGGACTGCAGTCGTGTTCTACGGCTTTGGCGATGCTTCAGGCTCTGCTTTCACTGGGACCATCGCTCAGCAGGGCAGCCTCCAAGTGGACTTCCAGTGGACCGAAAAGGACGTTGAAGAGACCTCCTCGAATTGGAAGGAGCTCACAAACTTGGTTGAGTTCATTGAGGAAAGGGTGAGAAGTGGGTCCATCCGTGATGCAGAGCTCTTTATGTTCACGGACAATTCCACAGCAGAAGCAGCCTACTGGATGGGCTTGTCCAAGTCCCAACTGCTTCTGGACTTGGTTCTTCGCCTGAGAATGGTGGAGCTCCATTTTGGTCTACTCTTGCATGTTATACACGTAAGCGGCAGGAGAATGATAGCCCAGGGCACCGACGGCTTGTCTCAAGGCAGCCACGGCACAGGAGTCATGCGTGGTGTTGACATGATCAGCTTCGTGCCCCTGCACCAAACATGCATTGATCGCTCCCCTGAGTTTGGCGAGTGGTTCTTGGACGTGGTCTCGAGAGCTAAGCCGACCTTGCTGATGCCGGAAAATTGGTTCGAAAACGTTTTGGGACATGGCGCCCATGTGTGGTTTCCTCCCCCGGCTGCAGCTGACGTGGTTGCGGAGCGACTGTGGGTTGCAAGGCACAAGAGACCCAACTCCTTGCATATTGTTGTGGTTCCCAGGTTGATGACGGGCAGGTGGAGGAAACAGCTCGGCAAGGCAGCCGACGTTTACTTCCGGCTTGAACACGACGCTTGGTGGCCAATCAAGAGCCAGTTCGAGCCCTTACTAATGTTCGTCTGCCTGCCATACCTTGTTCACAGGCCTTGCTTCGAGCCCAGACAGGGTTTGGTTGAGCGATTTGTCTGGGTGTTGTGCCGTGACAACTTGCCGAAAGTTGATGAGCAAGTTCAACGGGCTCTTCTGCGCAAACTTTTCGGCGAGGCACGGGCCCTTTGCACCCTGTAAGCGCTGTTGGTGCCCGGGATGCTACAGACCGGTTGGACAGCTCCCGTTCCCAATCAAGTATGTTGTTGATGACGACGGAAAGCTGATCGCCAAGGATGGAGACAGCGAGGGTTTCTTGCAGGCGAGGGCTGGCGATGGGTTCATGATTGGTTTCCAATGCGATTTGTGCCATTTCCGCAACATCCAAGGAAGAGATCCCTGGCCGAACGACGAACGAGACATGCTCCTGGTGGAGATGATCCGCCGTGCCAATTTGGACGCATTCTGGTCTCGCGAAACCTCTACCGTTCGAGAGAATTTGCGAGTGCTCAAGCGGGCTTATCTGACAAGGCAGAAGACAGGTATGGTCAACTTCCTGAAACCAATGGGACCTTTTCCTCTCGACAACGTCATGGGTATGAGCGTGGCAGTCGCCATCCTGGACAAAACTCTCGACACCCTGGAAGGTACGAAGCAAAGGTCCGATGGGCCACCATCAGAAAGATCAGATCGGCAGTGACGAACTACTACCAGGCCACGGTCCATGGGCTTGGAGACACCGTAGGCACCAATCTCAAGCACCAAACCTGGATTTCCAAGGCCCCGGTTCACTCCAAATTCTTCCAGCGTTTCATGGCAGGTTTGCACAGACGAGTTGGTGAAGTGGTCAAGAGAGATGAGCCAGTGACCATTCAGGTCCTCCATCAGGTGCTGAAGATTTTGGAACAAGATTGGCTTGAGGAACGCAACAAGGAAGGGCAAGCAAACCCCCACAAGCTTGACGCCATAGCGCTCCTCGGCACCTGGTTTGTCATCAGCTTCTGTGCTGCTCTCAGAGGAGAAGAAGAAGTGATCATGGAATTGGCTGAGACTGTCAACTCTCTGAAGTTCCTCACCGAGCCTGACAACACCTGCCTTTCCATGGCGCCTCACTTCTACATTGCTCCAGTCGGGCTGGTAAAGAACCACAGAATTCTTGGTGACAAGCTGGTCATCCCCATTGCTGGTGCCACAGCAACAAAAATTCCGGTGGAGCAGTGGATCAGGAGGCACACAGATAGAGTCAAGGCTTCTGGGAGGTCCACAGGGTTTCTCTTCCAGAGGGTGTTGGCTACCCCTAAGATGCTGGAGTTCGAGGACGATTTTCACGAAGTTCTCGAAAGGGTCCAGGCATTCAAGCCGTCCTTGATGCGGGATGGGCTTGTGGTTCGTGAAGAGTATGGCATTGAGCGTTCCTTGAGAAGAGGCGCTGCCGCCCACGCCATCAACCAGAGCGTCCCGGAGCCCATCCGGGATGCCATCACGCGTTGGCGAGGAGAATACAAGGCCGACCAGGCAGGAACTGTCAAGTCCCAAGTGATGCCTGAACTGTATGCGCGGCTGGACCTCATCGCGCCCACCGCGTTGCGCTTCTCTATGGCATTGTAGAAGGTGACGGTTGTCGGCTCGCCCAGCACTCGGCGGGAAACGGGATTCTAGTCACGAGTGTGGAACCCAGGGCACCTCTGGCGATCCAAGACATCAGCAGCCGCTTGGAGTCCACAAACCAACCTCGAGATGGATCGGACTAGACAACAGAGAAGAAGAGTCCTACAAGCTGAGCTACAGCGGATTGTCAATGAACTCACTGCGCTGGATCTAGAAGACAACGAAGACGAAGAAGAGCCGGAACCAGAATGGCAAAGGGGTACTAGAGTAAAAAATACCCAAAGAGATAGATATCGGGGACGGGTTGGAACTATCAGAGGTCGAAGGACACCCACTTCAGAATATTGGGATATCGAACTCGACCCTCAAGGGTCTTCCACCACCACCCAGCTCATATATAAGAAGCCAAGTGGTTTCCGTCGCATTTCGCCCAACCACGCTCAAGAGCAATAAACATGCAATGGTTCAGATCGGGGCGGACCTCGCTCAAGGAGCTCCGTTGTTGTTGTTGGCGTTGGCGTTGCCATTGCCGTTCTGCCCAGCCGCATTGGCCGGGGCGCCAAAGGAGGAATGGCGGCACGACGGGTCGCCGTGGCTTGGGAACGGACGGGACCAAAACACTCAGCAATTTCCTGCTCGCGCCACTCGTTGGCGGACTGCCACTCGGTGTCGGAGTTGGCGGTGGAGCTGCGCATCGCCGTGTTGTAGCGAGCAATTGCCTCGCGAGACACTTGAGCGCGAATGCGGCGAGCTTCACGACGGAAGAAGAAACGGGCCCGACGACGGTTTGACTCCGCCAGAGCCAAGTTACGAGAGTTGGCATTGAAATGGTCCACCATGGCAGAACCGATTCCGTTCAGAGTTCCGTCAGCGTTGAAGAAGGTCCGAGACTGGGCGGCACGGCCCATCATGACCACAGGATTGGCATTTCCGGTGTTGTTATCTGTCAGAAGAAACATAGGGAGCTACCCGAGTGAGACACCATCGAATTGAACGGCAGACTCCTGGTTGCCACTTACTCATGGTTCCTTTTCGCTCAGCGCTACACCTGCCTAGAAAGGGGAATGTTCGTTCCTCTTTGTTTCTGGAAGAATTGTGACCCAAGTCACCGGTCGCAACTCTAACACCAACCGAACTTGCCCCAGCTACAATCTGGTAGCTTTCCTACGTGACCACATGCTACCGTCAATAGCTTGGCCAAGCCTAGCATCCACCGCGACACACGATGAGAGTCAAAACGGTCCATCCCCATCAGCGAAGAGACCTGACCTGACCGTTGGGATCTTGCGTGTCCCACACAAGCACTCCCACATGGGCGACAAAATTATCTACCAGCCCCGCCCGCCGGAACTGTTGAAAGACAGTCGAAGCGGGGCGACTGCTCCTTGCGCTCACTATGAATGACACTTCTTCGGAAGTCGAAAATAGTGAGAAATGCGGTGCAGGTGCGGTACCACTACCGCAATCTCCGGTTTACTCCGTGAAAGAACACAGTCTTTGGAATTCGGTGGTGTCATCAAGACGCCGATGACCAAGGATTTCTGTGAATGATCATGGGGGGGGGGGGGTAAGCACTGGTGTTGTGTTGGGGAAATGCCTTCACCAACAACACACTTCACCAGTGCTGGAATGTAAAAGGAAAAGGAGCACATCTAGCAGACAACCACTTGAAGCAGAATCCACATATGATCTCCAGAGAATGTACACAGGCATCCTGGCATTGAAAACAGTGTGAACCATGATCTGTACCAAGCTTGAAGTCTATTAGCATCACTACTCCAACCTTACACCCATTGGTTCCAGCTCCATGCTACCAACATGGCCTGGGTGCCTGAGATACATCCCCCCACTTACATGATTATAAGTTATATGTTACAAACCAATTGTGTTCACTCTTTTGTATTACAGACTTGGAGGATATGAGGTGAGAGTATGCAGACAACCTGGACTGATCTGATACCCCAAGCGCGCGACCCAGCCAAGCAGGGTGAAGAGTCAAGCCAGACGAGTCAAGCCTACCAAAACCAAATATTCTATTTGAGTCTTACACTCCTTCTGTTGGACTCAACTAGCAAGGCTCACAACATCTCTATCTTGTCCACCAAGTCTTCCTCCTTGATTGAGCCTGAGTACTCACGCGGTTGGTTCATCTGGTCTTGATCAGCCTGAACAGCCATCCAACGAGATACTCAGGAAATTTTCTCCCACTTCTTGGGTGACAGTTTTACAACTACTAGTAAGTACGGTATAGCAGAAAGGTTTCCCCCTATTTTTCAATAAAATTAATAAATTATGTACTTTTTCAACCCGTTCTCGCACGGTGTACCGGTACTGGTACCGCACCGGTTGCGCGGTACTTGTACTCGAGTAGTACAGTCGTACCAGTGCCACCGATACAAGACGATCACATCCGACAACCGACAACCACAATGACAGAAAGTGCCACAAGCATGATGACGAATGGAGGAGTCAAGCAGACACCAGTGTCTTTGGCGGAGCCGCCAAAGTCTACATCGTGGAAACCGGACAAAAAATCCATTTTGGACAAGCTTGCTTCAAGCAGGGAAGAGCGAACCTTCTTCATTCCTCACATCCACAAGATCCTTGGGTTCTCCTGTTTGGCATCCTTTGTCTATCGCTATGCTCACATTGGACCCACAGATGGAAACTTTGGGCCCAATTTTGGCACTCTTGTTTTCATAATTCATCATTTGTCGCTGCACGCAAGCAGTTTCATCTTCCGCCTTCCCAAAGTGAGACGACTGCAGGGAGGGTATCGGATCTGGCCGGAATTTAGGTGGCACGCTTTGGGTTTCACCTCAAGATCGTTGGCCTTCATTTTACTCATGTGGCAAGAACAAATGAATGGAATCCCTCCCAACTCCACAAGATGCTACCAAGAAATGGATCTAGTGATTGTATTGGCAACCTGTGCCTTTGCAGATTTGGGGTCCTACATCGAACGAGAGAATCAAACACAAACGATCCGAGGGACCAAGGTCTCGGATCCTTTTGAGCATTGGTTTGCATCCGAAATGCAAATCTACTTGACGGCACTATGTGTGGTTGGATACAGACGCTACACGCTGCATCTACTTGCTATCAGCGTTATTCAGGTGAGACAAGCAGTAATTGGTTTTGTTGTCACCTCGGGCCCACGGTCCATGCCCACCATTCTCATGTTCCTCTTTGCTATTTTCAGTGTAACGCTTTTCTGATGACACTAAATCGAAAGAATGTAGCCCCACAAGGTGTTTTGGTCGGCATCTATGGCTTCATGTTGGTTGGGGGGTTTGCTGTCATCTCTTATGATGACAGTTTCAGCCACCGGACGGGTGTTGGCGGCACTGGTACGTGCATTCGAAAGTGCGAAGTCGAACCTGGATGATCGATTGTGCGCCTCACGAGGCTTTCATTCCAACCATATCTTTGTTTTAGTTGGAGGAATTGCTGCAATTCTACGCATGGGTCCGCTTCGTGTCAACAAATATATTCTTTGGACTGCACTCTGGTGTGTTTGGTATTATGTTCGAATGAATAGGATCTTGCCTTACTACAACACTATGTTTTGGCTCAAAGGCATGGTGATTACAAAGATATTGAGCACGTTCTTGGGCCTTATCAAGCGATCTAGAGCTCCCAGGGAGAGCAGGAGCTCTCTGGTTGCCTTTTTGGTCTTTGCAACCCACGCTGCCCTCTTTGCTTGGTTGTATTGGATGAATTTTGTGAGGAGCAGACGATGAAGAAGAACTCAAATTTCATAGCAATTTTGGTCGATTGATGCTAGCTAGTAAAAACCTGTCTGTGAAGAAGTCGAAGGCCTCAATTTCCGGTAGAGACCAATCCTTTTAGTTTCAAATGATCAGCTTTGAAATCAATGATTCACCGTGCTGTCAGCCTCACTCGTCTGTACCGGATTGACGGACAACCCGACTTTAATAGTTGGTGAGCATTCTCTGCCGAGTGTGTTTTCATCTGAGGCAATTACCATGAAACTGTTGAGAAGGACTTAGATCTATCGTTAGCTACAGGTACAAGCATATATGTGTTATGTATCATGAATTCTCGGGTGGCCCTCGTACATGTAGTATCGATACCCTCGACGAATGTTCCATTCAATTTTGTACTGTTGCTTTCAAGTCCCGTTGCAGAGACTTGAACGATGGATTCGCGGCCGGCACCTGAAGCGAGGCGTAGATATGTTCCGCCATTTTGTAGTACTCGAGCGCCTTTTTCGGTTCTGCTAGTCGGGCATGCACTTGTCCTAGTTTTTGAGCCGCAACAGCCACACTTGGGTGATCCAAGCCAGAAATATCTTTTCCAAAGATGGCTCGACGCAATACCAATACTTCATAGTAGGCTGTTTCTGCGTTATGAAAGTCTTCACACCGAAAGTAGAGGGCGGCCATGGTATTGAGGCATTCGACAGTGTCTATATGCAGTGGCCCCAAGAACTGATACCGAATCCGCAAAGCTTGATTGAAGCAACCGAGAGCTTCCAATATCACATCTTGATGGTTGTTCTTTTTGAAATAGTTTGTACCTGACTTTGGTGCAGAGAGGGCACTTGCGAGTTTTTCTAGAATCACCGCTGCCACCAGACTCTGTTCCCGATCCCTCTCCTCCAAAGAGTCCAATGCTTCCCGCAGCGTCTGTACTGCTTTCTCCGCATCACCATTCTTGGTGTAGGCAGTTGCCAGCTCGATTGTAGCCGCTCTGGTAAGCGCATGGTGTTTCCCATAACCCCGTGTTCGTTGCGATATCAAATCGGTCCAAAATTTTATTTCTACACTGCTCTCCGATCTCACAGTTCTCACCACAACATTACAACGCGATGGTTGGCTTTCCTGATTGTTGTTGTCGCTGTCTGTAATCGTACTTGTTATCGACCTCGCTTCGTTTTTGGGTGGTAGTGCGTAGGAGGGTGTCATGGCGGAGGGATCGTCAAAGTTGAAAATACCCAAATGTTTGACCGACGGCGTTCGATATACTTTGGCAGTAGTAATACTGTTATTATTGGCCGCTGAATCGGTATTAGGTGCAGCTGCCGCAATTCGTTTTCCCTTGATTCCCAATCGCTTGGTGACGAGGCTAGCTGGGAAGTCAAACGACCCCAGACTCTTCAGGTTGGCTACCCTAGCCACGCGACTCTTTAACGTCTTTTTCTTTTTCAAATGCGGTCGTACAATAATGGCATTGTTGTTGTTGTTGTGGCTTTTTTGACTCATTGCGAGAGAGCGTCCAGTAGTGCTCTTGTTTTTCTTGCTTTGATTGTTGCTGTTTTCCAATAATTCGTCCGTCTCTTCCCCACTAAAGGCAGTTCCAATCTTGACCGTACTAGTGGCATCGGCATCGTTAAATTCGCCCGACATTAAAGACTTGCTCTTGGCTCGCAGGAACAAACCATTATTGAGTTGTTGTTCATGGCCGGCCAAAAGAACCTTTTTTTCGGGTGATACATAAGTCCCTTGCCCCAGCGGCTTGGAAAGCACGCGACCGCCAACTCCAATGATGAGCTTGGTAACAAAGGATCGATCCAAGACGGTCGTGTGGATATTGTTGTGGTGATGATGATAGTCGGAAGTACCACTGTGGAGATTTGCGGGGGAAGACCGCGGAGGTGTTTTGGGTAATACCAAACTTCCTCGTGCCACACATCTCGTGTTGGTACTTGTACTTGTAGTAGTATGATGATAGGAGTTGTGTGACACGGTCCCTCCCATGATGGACGCCGATCCGTCGGGTCTTGCCCACGTGTTCAAGAAATTGAGTTCGACTCCCTTGCTTCGTTCTCCGCTCGACAAAAACAAGTCGTACGATTTGTTGGGACCAAAGTGCAGCGTGGTTTCTTCTTCGTCTTGTTCTCGTGGAGAATCCAACACCACAATCGAGTCCGTGGCGGCATGCCGCGAGGGCATCTTCGTGGTTTTATGATAGTAGTATGAGTCGAGTCAATCCGTTGGTTGGTTGGTTGGTACGAGGAGGATCAATCAATGTTGATTCCTGCTTTCCCTTGGAAGAATCAACGAAAGGACTAACTACATGTATGATACGGTCCTCTGACAGGTGTCGAACAAACCCCCGCGTAGTCTATGTGCAGCCAAGTGTCGATAGTCTAGCTAGCTAGCTAGAGAAGAAAGGTCGACTGGAGAAACAACCTTCCCCTAAAATCAATGCACCAAAGGAAAAATAGACTTGAAGAACAAGGTCGTCTTGAAAGGAAACTGGCGAAGCTCGCTCTGACTGACCTCATCCCTAAGAAGGTTCCCTTCAAACTGTAACGCACACATTATCTGGATACGTTGCCAACGTGCCAACTCAGTTCAAAGGAAAGAAGGCACGAGGAACGAAGGCAACGCTTCCAACGAAGCAACAACAGTCAGCAGTGAAGCTCTTAGACTTCAGCTCTGTTTTGGTTGCTATCACTTACCCTGTTGACCGAAGCAGAAACTAGCTACGCGCTAGCATAGATTGCCATACGAACCGAATCGGCAGCACCCATCTAACGTAGTTTGAAGACAAGCTGAATCGAATCAAGAAGAAGAATCCTTTTCCACAATGGGATCATCGCAAAGCCATCCATCTTGGCAACAGTCTCGGTATATCACTCGCATGGAAGCCTCTCCACAAACCAGTGCTCTTCAGCCTACTAGTAGTGCAGCAACTCCAGATGCAGCCCTGACGAAGGGTGATGAGCCTCCTCCACAATTATATCGTGTCGAGTCGTTTTCGGACAAGTTCATTCGAAAAGTGAGTGCGGTTCCGTTCCGTTCAGTACATGTATGGAAGCCATGGCTTTTGTTTCCGTGCAAAGAAGAGCTCTTTCTCTGCCTTTACAGGCTCATTGTTATTATGAATGCCTCGCACTCGCAAAATCTCACTGCTCTGCTCTTCTTGTTGTCAATCAGTTTTCATCGCAACCATTGGTGCCCATTGGTTGTGTTGCCACGGCCTATTTCCTAGCCAGTGGGATCAAATCCTTTCGAGATAGAGATCCCATTCGATCTCAAAAAATGATGAGAGCTCGAGTGGGAGCGCAATTTGTGACTATTATGATATTCATTGGGTACCTGGGATACGAACAGTTGGATTTCAGATTGGCACCGGCGTATCAAGACAAGAAAAAAAGAGAACAACAACAGCAACAGCAACAATCCGATTGAAAAGATGATGTGACAATAGTATTGAGAGGCTGGCTCTTGCTAGTAGATGAAGATTATGGCAGTGTGGATTGGTGGAATGATTGAATCGAAGCGACAATCTACGTACTGTACGGTGCACCTTACCTGTTCGCGAGAGGGTTGACCTGTGATCGTCATATTTGGAAATTGGTGGAGCAGTGATGAGACTGCAATTCACAAGCTATATTTTCAGCACAGACCCAGTCATCGTGTTGTCTAATGTCTAGCTAGCTAGAACACTACTATATCCCATCTTGTGAACATTGCAACTACCGTATTACGCACACAATATAGTTTCCGCATGAAAATGAGCCAGTGCATCTAGCGAGCAACCAAGTCGAGAGCTTGGGAGCTTGCAGAAGTATTCATGGGGGCAACATGGCATTCTATAGGATTCTCCTAAGGATGGGCCTCCAAAGATGCGTGCCTCAAACCAAAAGTCGTAAGAAGTTGTTCCTGGACTTTGGGATCTTGCACAAGCACATCTTTTCTTTTCCAGCAGGAACAGATAATAGCAGAAACCTCTCAGTGATATCCTTTCAAAATGATGGTTACCGGTACAACCCCAAGAACTCCGCTCCGTCGCACGTGCATGCACATGCAGTGGTATCGACGACGTTCGTAGATCAGTCTGAAGTTTGCGAAGGGCATGAGTTACGAAAGTTGAACCATTCTCTGGTTATGGCAATAGCAAACAACCGCAGCCGTACTACGGTATACATGTAGTCTAGCGAGTAAAAACGCAACTAAGGTAGCGCAGCGAATATCATAGTACATGTAGTCTTTTTGTTTGGCTTTACTTTCCCTGTCTTCTTTTTGCCCCCGCGGTCGATCTCTCACTAGTCCTCTTCAAGCTCTTTGACCAAGTCAAGTCAAATCAAATCAATCTCTGCCGCTTGTCATTCAGGGATGTGGATTCGTCGAGTAGTGTTGCATCAGGGTGCTTTTCCAGGTGGCGAATGATGATGAAGATGATGATGATCCAGGTGATTTCACACTTCTTTTCCCCGTCCAAACAACATTTCGGACGAAGTCTAGCAGCAAAATGCACGAGGAAGTCGACACCCTTGAAATAGACTGGTCGTAGGGGATGATGGGCGCGGCACCATCGTTTGAAAACAGCCTTGTCTACAATCACGCGATCCTCCTCTGATGGATCTGTAGAGAGCTTCCGTACACCACCCACCGAGATGATCACTTTGCGCATCACGTCGAGAGTGATTTTGCTGTCACAAGTCTCCACAAGCTCAAGAATTTCAACTGCATAAGAGTCGTCCGTTTTCAGTTTCTCCATATCCACAAAACCGACAAGGTCAAGGTTCTTTGCTTGCTCTCGTTCACGTTGTCGTGGATCTTTGGATGCCTCTACGATGTATCCAATATGTTTTGTCAAGGTTGTAGTGTTACCGCAGATGAGATCGTCGACGGTCATACGGACCACATTTTCCCGGTCTCGTTTCCAAAACCACCCGCCGCCACTCTGGACATGAAAGTCGACCATCAATCGCTCATTCAGTTTTCCTTTTTGGCGCTGACTCATGCTAAGCCAGTCATTCTCACTGAGTGCATTCTTCACTATGCAACGCCATAGGCAGTTGCCAGGCATGTCCCAGATTCTTTGTCGGAAGGATGTGGCCCCCCCTCTACAAACAACACATCCACATTCCGATTGAATCCACCGGAGAAGTAGAACGGCTGTCCTCGGGGTATTGTTCGTCGCGAAAATACCGAAAGTCTCCTGACACTGACTGCTTGTAGCTGGTTCTGAGCCGTGCGACCTCTGCTGTGAAATTCCGAGCATATCGGGGAACGAATGGATCCAAAGCATGAACGCGCCCATTATGAGTGTGAAAGAGAGCTTCATCGCTATGGCTCAGGCATGTCTCGAGCTCCTCCAAAGACGGTAGTTTGCCTGTTGCGAAGTCGACGTAGAGCCGATTGGCCACTTCTTCAAATGCTGGCACGACAAGCTTAGCGTGGCTAGAATCCACCACATTGCCTCTTGTTTCGGCCATGACGACGAATCCAGGCAAGCCACCAAGCGATTTCTCAGCCGCGTGATGAACTCCGATTTTTGGACATGTCCTCAAGGACTCCGCAAAAGGCTTTCTTGGTTGCCACGGTTGCACGAGGCATATCACAAGTAGCTCGGTAGAACGCATCCTGTCGCCGTTCGCTGGTGAAGAAAGTGGTGGCCCCAAAGACGCGGAACAAAATGCGCCATAGCCGACTATGCGCATCACCTCCATCTTGGTGAATGGAAGTCAAGTATAACTTCTCTGTCCACTTGCCAGTGTAAAACTGAAAGTAGCAGTCTATATCCCGCGTATCCAAGGCATTAATCACCATGGCAAGAGTAGGACAATGGTGACGAATGTTCTCCGCTCGAAGCAGTCGTGTCTTGATGTATGGGACAGAAAGGTTGAACTGGAGAAAGTGGAGCTTGAGAATGTCGCCTGGGAGACTCGCAATCTCTTTGAAAATGGTTGCTACGAGAAGAAAAGTCTTGATATTTTGAGTGTCGTTGTAGTGTTCCTTTTGATAGGTAACAGACTTGAGTTCCCAGTCCCACCCGTCTGGATGTTCTTTTTTTTCAATGACGATTTTGGTGGAGGACGTCAAGGATGCGCCAGAAGCAACGGCATCAGCTATAGCCATAGAAGTAGATTGCGCTGCCCAATTTGCTTGGTCACGTCGCGATATTCCAGCAGAGGGTAGAACAGATCCTTGCTCTTGTGCTTGACATAAAAGAAACCTCCACGGCTCGTAATGTCATCAAAGATTTTCTTTCGAACATTGTCTTTAGTGGAAACTGATTTGGTTCCAATGTACTCCTGAAGGTTGTCCTCGACGAGTTTGATGTACTGCTGGTTGCCCTCATGCTGTTGGACTCCCGCGCCGCGATGGAGGATGACAGAAGCGCTGCTGACTTCACCGATACCGATTCCAGCCTTGTTACTGCTACTCATGATGATTGTTTTGGGCTCTGACAGGTCTACGGTAGTACAATTGGATACAAAGGCGGGAGTTGGGTATACCGGTACCAATGCCGCCAAGATGGAATAGTGAGAGATTTTGACTTGGGCGCAAAGGGACAAAATTCGAAACGGAGGGCTTCGGAATCCATCGATCATGAATCACAGTTCGACACCACGCTTATTAGACCTTGCGAGTTCCCCAAACTACGAGCAGACTTTCTACTCCACGCTGAAGGTTTCAGCGTGGAAAAATGAGAAAAAGGTAGGACGGGTTTTAAATAAGCTGCATAAAATATGGGATTACGCCAACTCCCCAAAATCATGCATCCAGTGGGATTTGAACCCACGCGCCCTAAAACGGACAGTGGATCTTAAGTCCAACGCCTTAGACCACTCGGCCATAGATGCTCCTATCAGGATATGCTGCCAAATAAATCTGATTTTGGTTTTTAAGCAACAATTACAAGAAACCGCCATCACGACGGGATTGAATCATCTACGCACAGCACCACTACTCCGCCAGCAGATCAGACTCTATTGGAGCTCCTCTCATGCATGTAGATATCCAGTGGGATTTGAAACCCACGCGCCCTAAACGGACAGTGGATCTTTAAAAGTCCAACGCCTTAGACCACTCGGTTCAACCAGAAAGGCCACAGTTATCGGCGGAATGTGTGTTTAAAAAGAGACTAAATGGAACGTCCGGCATCATCTCAATCAACATTATTTCTCCCACACCATCACCCCACCCATCCCACTCTTGGGTGCCACTTTGTACGTGGTGGGATTTGATTTGGATCTTTTAATTTAGTAATAAGTCCACGCCTTATTACATGTAGAGCGACCACTTGGCCACATGCATGTGCTGCAACGAGAAAGTTCATGAAAGGGATTTTGAATCCACGGCCCTGGCCAATGTTACAGTAGCAGTCCCTCGTCGAAAGACTGCTATTTTTCTCGGTGGCATTAGAAAATATGTGCGCTGGGAAGGATCAGTAGATTTCCTTTGAGTGATAGATGTTGAAGCGAGAAACGAAACCTCAGATGATTCCACCACTCTTATGTCCTGCCGATTTTACCCCTAGCGCGCCAATGGAACAATGACCTTCGGAGCTGTCTGCTGGTAGATGGGAGGTTGATTGGCCAGTGTATTGAGATGCTCCCAGGCATATGTACAACCACCTGGGTTTTTCCAGACACGGAACCGGACAACCGGACCCCAAATCCCAAAAACACGGCCCCACGCAGGCTAAAGCTACTTCGATACATTCGATGGACTCCCCCGCAAATTATTTAATCAGTACCACGAGTACCATACTAGTAGCTAGCTAGAGGCGCGCTGTCGAACAGGCCAGCACCACAGCAAAATTCAACGCAATATTCTATAAACAATCTTACAATCTACTGACTGTCACTTCGCAACTATCAATTTCTTTAAAGCATCGATAATCACAGCAATGTCTTCTCCATCATATATCATTGATCATTCTCCTTTCAGTTCGTCCGTCTTCGTTTGGTCTCCTGATAATATTTCTTCATCAGAGGAAGCCAGCGCGTGTCCGTCGTCAGACACTGCAGTCCCACGTACGATGACCTTCCATCAATCAAATTCCATGATGTGTTGTTTACTTTCCACCAGAAGAGAACTCGTACTCTACTTGAGCAGCAGACAATCGCTGTGGCACAATGTTCTGATGGAAATGAATGAAGGCTGGATCGTCGCTCAGTGACATGTAGTCAGAAGGCATGACTGTCACGATTCGACGTGTTACATCATTCGATGGAGTTGGGGCTGGAGTTGTTGTTGTGGACGAGGCAGGAGTGACGGCGGCAACAGCAGGCACCTTGGTTGATGGCAGTTGGCTTCTTGTTGATTGCGCTGAACATCTTGGTTTGGGTTGTTTGGTCGTAGTTTAGTAGGTGTTTTTCTCGAGCGAGAATTGCGAAATGAATGGGTTTGCTTTTGGTTGGGCGTATTTGTGCTGTCGATGAGCGAAGACGGCTGAAACAAACGACCTGTCATCGAACGCCAGCCAGGTACCGGTATTCTGGGTGCGCGAACGTGGGCGTTCGGAAAGAGCTACGAGTACAGACGTTGGGAGTTTTCCACACGGCAATCGAACAGTTCGATGATGAATTCGATCATCCATTCGAATTTGAGGGCAAAGATTTTTTTCTTTTCCCCTCGGCGTCACTTTCACCAACCCGCCTCAGGGCCAATACAGCTGTATCGGTTTCCACTCGCGAGCTTACGAGGATTTCGCCACCAACAACAAGCACAAACTGGAACAGCAAATCATATTCCTTCGTGGCAGTCGTCGATGTACATCTATCTCACAACTCTCACAAGCGTCCGAGTACTCTCCATACCAGCAATAGCATAATGGGTGTCACCTCCGATACACCCAAGAGCAAGGTCATTTTCATCCCGTTGCCAACACAAAAGACTTCCAGCGCAGTCGCCATCGTCGTCGCAATCACCTATGAAAAAACAAAGAGAGGAATTCGTAGTTGCCAAGGGTAGAGGGGCTCACCTTTGCAGTGCGCCAACTATGGTGTTCATTCAAACAAGCCAGCAGCAATGAGGACCCTTGTAAGGATTTTATCTAAAGTCAAACCTTGTAGCATCAGCGCTTGCACTTACGGAAAGGTACCCTCAGGTTCACCGTCGTAACCTTTTCCGGACGAGCAAATTGGCAAACCTTTGACAAGGCTATCACATACCGGCAATTTCCTTAGAGGTGCCCACTTACCGAGACGCTCGACCGAATTCGGTGGAAAGGATGGGGGCAGGGCTAGGAAGGGCGTTGGTTGAGTGGAAGGCGCAGAAATTGGTTGTGGTGACGGGGTTGTGCTTGATGTTGCCGACGGGGTCATCGAAGGAGCTCCAGAAGGTTCTTGCGAGCTGCTACCGGTAGTTGGTCCTGCCGTGAACGAAGGCGATAAAATCGGCTTGGATGTGGGTGGTTGGGACGGTGCGGTTGGCAATGACGGCTTTGGACTCCGTAAGTCACTTGGCACTATTGATGGACTTGCGGAGGGTCGTACCGATGGAAGGCCACTCGGGGCAAGGGGGATGGAAGGAGCACCAGAAGGAATTGATGATGATTTCGCAGATGGAGAGAAAGGTGGGATCATTGACGGCCCTAGAATGCATTAGTCACTTTTGCTGCCTTCGTCTTCTCCACCAAGACATCCGTTGACTGCTTCATTCCCATCACGTTGGAAGCAAATCAGTCCTCCAGCGCTGTCTCTATCACTTACGGAAAGGCAAACGAAGAAATCGACATCATGAGGCAGCCTGCAACGGTTTGGCGATTCGGTGCTCAGAGATCTTTTTGGTGAACTTTACTCAACCACTCTCTTGCTAGATTCGTACGGTATGAGGCAGTTACTATTCTGGTATCCAACAAGCTTCCTCGGCGACGTACCTGCGCACAGTGGCAAAGGGTAGACATCAGGTTCCCCGTTGTTTCCAAGGAGGTAAATCTCAGAACTTTGCAGTGACCGTCGACAGCGCCACTTGCGTTGGTCCATTCCGGGCCAGAGCGCAAATGGGGACGAAGCCGCAATCATGCAGAAGGATCAAACTGTTGATCATGACTTCAAACAACATGCTCCGCTTCTTTTTGTGAGACCATTCGGGCACATTGCCTGATACCAATGAACATATTCATTGAATAAGTCACCACTGTATACGCAGACTGAGGACTCAAAAGCTCACAGCATTTTCTTTGTCCTGAATGCGTATTGATGGAAGATTCGTTTGCCCCATTCCTACTTGAACGTTCTTAGCAACGGCACCCCTTATTTTGTGGGCTGGAGTGTCATTGCTTCGGAAAAGGGCCAAATTCTCATGGGTCTGAAATAAATGGAAGCAAGTGCTCCCACGAAAGAATTCTCTAACAGTTTGCTACAGTACCGTACTCCTCCTCGAGAAGTCGAAGCTGCTCCTACCGTACTCGAGTATGAGAGAAGCGGCGGACAGCAATAGTAAGGATTATAGTTGATCAGAGCATCAGCATCAATGGCTCGGCATGTCCCGGACATACAACGCCATCGTAAATCTGCGGTACCGGTGTACCAGTACATACCATGACCGTAGCGGTGCCGGTAGCCTTTTTTAGAAGGAACCCTCCGTTCGGAACACTCTCTTCCTTTACGTGGACTAGCTAAACGCACGGGTACCTGTTGTGAATGGGGCGCCATCACACTAGTGACTCACAATCATGAACCCATCCAGTCCAGTCCTGGGAGCAGGGCCAGATCATTGGCAGTTTGAGAGCCCGACAGACTCAAACAAGACTAACAAACAGACAGGGACAGCATAGCTTAACCCAGAATTAGCATAATCTTTATCTTTGCATTCCAACAGGTTATGAGCCCAATTTAGCGAGGCAGAGCGACGCTTCGCCCAAGCAATACAGCACCATGATCAACCTCTTCGGCTCAGCAGCCAAGAGTGTTCACACATGGGCAAGTAGATCTCGAAGACCCTCAACATCATCGGCACCAGCCGAACAACCACAAACTCAACCTCCTCTGCCACCCCTTCCACCGCGGCGCCGCACGGCCTCGCCGGTCATTGTAGAGGACGCATCCGACGATGGATCGTCCCTCAATGGAAATCTCCCGTCATTGGTCACAAGAGCGGTGTACTACAGCAGTAGTGATGCTTCGGATGAGGACACTCCCAGTGCTCCACACTCCGCCACTGACCCACTACAGCAAGTGACACCACCACGACGGGTAACCCAATCGCCAATCTTTCGAACCACAGACCCCGAACACCTGCCGGGATTTCGACCACCCACACCCCTGTCACATCTCAGCTCTGGCATACCGTCAGCCATCCGCACGCAAGTTAATAATGTGATGGCGACGCTAGACAACCACGGCGCCTCCCAAGCGTCCACGCGTGGCTCTACCCCGCTCATCGCTGAGTGGCAAAGCCACCAATCCACCAACTCGTCCCTTAGCGACTCATTTCAAACCGGTGTGGAAGGCTCATCCACGGGACCCTCTATTTTCTTCTCCAAGGCGACTACCTCTTCGCGAGCCCCCACTCGCACGAAATTCGGCGATGGCTTTGACAGCATCCCCGTCATCCCAGACCATGCCTTCGCTCTCGCCCATGGCCCCATTGTCATTCTTCGCGGAATCCCACCCTGTGGATACAGCAGTCAGTTCCTTACTACCATTGTTGACACTCGAGAGCTTTATGGGGGGGTAAATCGCACTACAAATCCCGTCGACTGCAACAATGACGCCTATTTACAGCGTCTCAAGAGCAAGAAACTCCTGGTTCGCCAAGCCTCTACCGGTCACATTATACAGGTATTTCCCCTTCGCATCCTTGGTCACGACACGACAGACCAATGCCACACTTGGCAACTAACGTCCAGGTGGCACCCATACCTTCGAGGGTACTTCGATCGCCAAGACAGAAGCATGGCCTCATCTGGAAAGGCCTACTATGTTGTGGATGGATGGTATGATGGATTGCCGTGCCAGCGAATAGTCCAATCCTTCGCTGAAGGATGGGCAATGCAGGCAGACGTGCTCAACAACGGTGTTAGCGATGCACCAACCGGTTTTAAGGAGCTCAACCCGGCCAAAGAGTACCTGCGAATGATCCAAGCAGAACGGCCAGTGGACCCTCGCAACCGCATACCAACCAAATGGGTGATCGACGCCAGCATACTCGGGGTCGAAGATCCCCACTACGCCTGCGCTGAGCATTTTGGACACTCTCCTGCACAGAGATCCTATGGGTCCGCCGGAATAGATGTACCAGTGCCAACACCGTTAACTCAGCGGTCTGCCCCGTCAGCACCTAGAGAACCTGCGACCAATCCAACGGCACCTTCAACTCCAGTTCGCAGCGGCTCCAGACAACCTCGCGCGGCTCCTCAATTTGTTGAAGTGACAACTGAGGATGGACAACGCTTCTCAATTCCGGCATCCTCCATCAACAGGAGTGTCGGCACCTTCACGCGATCGCGAGACAACGCCTCCGTGACCAGCTTAGACAGCTTGTGGCTCAGCCACATCGAGTCGCAACACCACCTCAAAGATGCTCTTGGTGCCATTGTTCAGGGCAACCGGTTTACTCACGATGATCAGCTGAGAGCAGGCACTGATCTACCCAGTCTCCCAGCAGCACCCACCTCAACACTGCTCTACCAATGGAAATGTGGAGTTGAGAATGCTCTCACCGGCGATCACTGGGAAGCTGAAGACCAGGAAATTTGGGAATATTCCACCACAACCGAAGGCAACAAGGATATCTCGAAGGTGATGGCTCGTCTTCTAGTGAAAGCCACAAAACAAAACCGCACCATCACGGATCTCCTCCAACGAGAGACCAGCCTGAAACGTCGTGGTCCGGAGCTCCTCCAGGCAATCCTCGATACCTTCCTTCCAGTCACCAGCGATCGTGTGGATGACCGATTCGCCGATGTGAGCACGCTCGTCCAAGAGCAGCGAGAGTTCTGTGTGTCGTTTCTCCTACGATTGCGATTCTTCACTCGCCAATACGGTGCCGCCAGTGGACACATGCTGTCAGATTCAGTCCTACGTGGTTGGTTTATCGCTGGCACAGTGCGCCATGGACCTTATCGCGGTACCTTGCATCGCACATACGCTCGGCTGATTCGTCCTGGTGGGAAACTGAACGGCACGCCAACCCTCCAGTGCACTCTTGACAGCCTGGCTGAATACTTCGATGGGATCCTCACAGGAGCTGAAAACAGCAAATACTATTGCGACAGCAAGCTTCTCGCTGGAGAACAACCCATTCGGGCCTACGCAGCCCGTGGCAAGGCTCACAAGACGTCCAGTGACTCACCAAGTGAGTCAAGGGGGGTAGCCTTTCAAACTTCTTCTTCGCTTGACACGTCGGATCCCATGGCTGTGGTCGATGCCCTCCGACCCTTCGAGGACATCCACGTCACCAAGGAACAAGCCCAGAACGTCATGTACCACTTTGCCTGTCCTTGGTGTGTCATTGCTCGCAACAAGAACGCTGACAGACACCACATGTCTACCTGCGAGCACTGCATTCCAGGATACAACATCGAGTTCGACGGTGCTGCATACAAGGAAGGAAAAGCAAACCGACGAAAACCCACACGCAACAACAATAATTCGGGCACAGCCCGCGCTGCTAGTCGAGGCTCTCGCAGAACCTTCGCTCCTTCGGACAGCGAAGAGGACGATAGCGATGACGGCAGTGGATGTGAGTCTCCTACTACTGATGGCGCGTTATTAACTACTGTAGCACCACCCAACTCACCATCTCCTGTCGTCTCTCCTCTTAGGAAAGCAATGGCTCCGATGGCCAGACTAGCAACCATCCCAGAGGAACCAGAAACTGATGGAGACGGTGACGGCTCGGTCGCAACAACAGATAGTTATACGTTAAACGGTAGTAGTAATAGTAACAACCAACACCACAACACCAACATTTCGTACAGCTGCATGTACACCCAAAAAGGGCCACGGCTCAACGCCACAGCAGCTTACTTGGCGATGAAACCCCTTCCTCAACAATACGTGGCTGGACGTGCACATATGACTGCCTCCCGACAGCAGAACACTCTCGCATGCGTGGACTCTGGAGCTACAGGCGATATGACACCGCATCTGGAGGACTTCGTCGCCTACAGTCCACTGGAAGGACACTTCATACGCGTCGCAAACGGATCGCCAATTCCCATTCTAGGCTACGGCACAGTCCAACTTCAGATCGACAACAAAGTAATCAAAGAACAGAATTGGTGGCACGTACCAGACTTATCTACTCGATTACTGTCCGTTCGCAAACACCGGAGACGCGGACCAGGATGCAGCTTCATGGCCGATCACGATGACTGTATTCTGAGCTTCCCAACATTCACCATCCGAATCGACGACTCCGAAGAGTGCAACGTTCCTTGTGAGAGTGCGACTCAGTGTACCAACATCCACTATGACGACCAGACACACTATGGGTACACCAAACGACTGGCAAAGTCTGGAACAGCACTGCGAGTGCACAGACACTTTGAGCCAGCCCCCACGCGTCATCCACTGGAACCAATAGACGAGGCTGAAATGACGAAGCCCCAAAGTCGTGATATCCCAATCGCATACACACCAGAAAGCCACCTAGGTGAGCAGACGAGACGTTTCACTGGACAGGAACTGCACCTTCTGTTTGGGAACCGCAAACTGGGTGACTATAAAGCTGTTACCGAAGTGTGTTCCCATGGCAAGTACTGTAATGCGAGCGAAGCAATACCATCAGTTGGGGATTACGTGAACCTCCGACGAGGAAAACGCCGTAAGAAGGCACGAATCCCTCCTCCAGGACGTACCTTACACGCAGATCTATGCTACGGTGATGGCGTGTCGCCTGGGGGCTTCCGGTACGGCCTTGCAGTGGTAGATGCTGGAACACGACAAAACTGGTTCTATGGACTCCGGGACTTGGAGGCAAGCTCCATCATCGACGCGTTGTGGTGCCTATTTATCGATATGGGGGAGAAGAGCGCAAATGTGAGACACTTCCACTGTGACTTCGATCAACGGTTTGTCGGTGGCAACGTACGAAAGTTTCTCAGGAGACGTGGCATCAAGATCTCAGCCTCTCCACCACACCGCCATTCCCAAAATGGTCTCGTTGAAAACCACTGGAACACGGCTGTACGAATGGCACGGGCATATCTACAGGAGGCAAACTTACCAAAAAGCTTCTGGTTCTGGGCCGTCCGTGAAGCCTTCTTCCGCATGAATCTCCTCCCGGTCAACATCGGACCGAAAGACTCTAGCCAGATCCTTACCACTCCCTTTGAGCTGTTTTATGGACAACGACCAGACATGAGAGTGCTGTTCAAGTTTGGCAGCGTCGGTTTCTTCTACCGACCTGTTGATGGCAGCCGATCACGTACCAAATTCGAGGTACAAACCTTCCCAGGGATAGCCCTCGGTCGCAGTGACACCACAAATGGAATGATCTTTTGGTGTCCAGAAACCAAAAGGTTCTGCACCGCGGCTGATTACTATCTGGACGAAAGTCAACACGTCAGATGTTTCTTCCCTGAACTGGTGAACAATGGGGGGTTTGAGTTACGTCTGTGCGAGCACGGTCTCCATGGGAAAGCCATCCGGCACCCTCCAGGGAGCACTGTCACATTCCGTTTGCCAGGACCAACTCTTCAGTCCCAACGCCCCTTATACACCAGCGGAGAAGTCATCTCCGTCCCTCTCAAACGCGGTGCACAGTTGTACACGGTCAAACTCCAGGACGACACCACTGTTTGCCTCGACGCCGCTGAGCTTTGGGAACCAGACGACGCTCTCGCCGGTCTTGAACTGATCGACGATCCAGACTCCAGCGATCCCACCCGTCCAATTCGGCCTGACTGGCTTGTGCAGCACTGCCACGTGCGTTTCCATCACGAGGGGCAAATGCTTCGTGGCTTCCTGGAACACACCGACAACTATACTTGGTGCTTTCGTCAGCGAGATCGAGGGGGGCGTGTGATCACGGAGGTCCCTATTCCTGATCTCGACGTATATTGGCGTCATTATCTCCTCGAGGGCTTGTTGATTGTTGGATGGACCGACACCAATCCCGACAACTCTGCAGACACACCTCCTCTTTCGGACACTGCCATGCATGTTTCAGCCCGCGGCCTGAAAGGGGGGAATCCACAATTTCTTTGGCGTGCCCTTCAGGACCAATCCAGCCCCGACTATAAGATATGGTTTGACTCCTATCAAGAAGAATACGACGGCATCAGGAAACTGAACACTTACACGGTCATCGACGAAGCCGAAGTCAACCGACTGGGTGTCAAGCCAATCCCAACCATGAATATTCTCACCATCAAAACCGACTCAGATGGACTTCCTGTTAGAGCCAAATCACGAACGGTTGTCATGGGTAACGAGGAAGAAAGGGTATGGCAGAAGAACGAATTGTACGCACCGGTGATCATGAGGCACAGTCAACGTGCCTTGGTCGCACTGGGAGTGTCACAAGGACGCAAGACCAAACAATGCGACGCCAAGAACGCATTCTGCCATCCTTATCTGCCAGACGACGAAGTGGTAGTGGTACTGCCGCCCAAAGGGTGTCCATTTTCAGAACCTGGAGACTTTTGGCGACTGAACAAGACACTTTATGGCCTCAGACGAAGTCCCAGACACTGGTACCAGACCTTCAGGAAGGTGCTGGAAGGACTAGGACTGAAGAAGTGTCCTAACGACCCTGCCCTATTTGTAGGAACATCACCTACCGGTGGCACCATCTATTTTGGAGCGTACGTGGATGACTGTCTTTACTGGGGAACGGATGATGCAACCGAAGAATGGTTTGAGAAAGAACTTGGACAACAACTGCACATAGACTTCATGGGAGATCTCACCTGGTACCTTGGAGTGTACTACGAATGGAGCAGAACAAGTGATGGACGGCTCACAGTCCACCTGTCCCAAGAAGGATACATCCACAAACTCCTAGACCAGAACAATATGCTGGAAGCAAATGCCGTGCGAACTCCATATCGATCTGGATTGCCCATTGACAGAGTGCCGCATGATGGAATCGAACCAAGCCAGAAGAAAAGCCTCACCAAGGAGTACTCCTCGCTCGTTGGCGGCCTGAACTGGGCAAGTCAAAACACGCGGTTAGACATCACCACGGCCACCAGTCTACTGTCCAGTCACTTGAAGAATCCCTCGGAAGGACACCTCGACGCCGCAAAGCACGTACTCAAATATCTCAAGGGAACAGCTGACTGGGGTATCCAATACACTCAACCGAGCGCCACCTCTGACTTTGATCCGGCACAGTGTATGCGCGGAGAAGTTGCTTGGCCAACGGATGGTGGACCGATAATAGGATGCTTCGACAGAATGGACGGATACACCGACAGCAACTGGGGTCCACAAGATGCGTCTGCTCCACAAGAAGGAGAAACCAGACAGGAAGCGGAAGTCAGATCAATCCTCGGAGCAATTGTTGTATATATGGGGGGTCCATTAGACTGGACGGCATGTCGTGAGAAGAAAACAAGCCGGAGCTCCTGCGAGGCCGAAATCAAAGGAATGGACGAAGGCTGCAAAATGATTGAGGGACTCCGAAATGTATTCGGCGACCTTGGAGCGAAGCACATCGCTGAGCCCACCGCACTCCTCTTCAACGACAACAAGGGAAGTGTGCAGTGGACCGAATCGGAAGCGATTACTAAGAAGCTGCGCCATCTCAATATAAGGGAGGTCGCATGCCGAGATGCACAACGCAGTGGCAAGGTCAAGATCGGCCACATTCCTGGTAAGATCAACGTCGCCGACATCTTCACCAAGGAAATGAAAGATGCCTTGCATTTTGAGTTGGTCCGGAGCAGCATAATGGCTCAACGACGCAATTTAACAGCGATCGATACAGCCGGCCGGAGTGAAGATGGCGATAGTGAGAATCCTCCACCGGTCGCTGACGCACTCACAAATGACTCGGGAGTCATGGGGGGTGTTGTGAATGGGGCGCCATCACACTAGTGACTCACAATCATGAACCCATCCAGTCCAGTCCTGGGAGCAGGGCCAGATCATTGGCAGTTTGAGAGCCCGACAGACTCAAACAAGACTAACAAACAGACAGGGACAGCATAGCTTAACCCAGAATTAGCATAATCTTTATCTTTGCATTCCAACAGTACCAGTAACTGGAGTCGCCTCAGCGACTGAATGGCACTCAACTTGATTGAAGAGCTATTGAAGAATCATTCGAATGTTACTATGATACATGATACTCTGTAAGCGACAACTTGGAAATTGCACGAAGTGCATAACCGTACGGTACCAAGGAATTCACCTCTTACAGTTCGGATCCTGCTCTAGTAAAAAGGTAGCTAAAGCAGGGGGGCGTGTGCGCACGGCAACAATGGTTCTGGAACTTCTGGCTCAACGTGCAACGTTACGGCACATGCTAGCTAGCTGGGTGGATAAGGAGAACTCCTACCGGATTAGATAACAGTGTGTTCGTAGGCCGCTTGCAAGTTCTTCCCAGCATTAAGGCCGGTCATCCTCCTGCCCTGGAGGATTTGAAGGGCCCTGCTGCTGTTGTTGTTGTTGCTGCTGCTGTTGCCTTCTATTAGCCAATGCTTGACTTACCAAGGCTTGTAGCAGGTCGCCTTCGACAGAGTTGCTGTTTGTGGCAGTGTTGTTATTGATGACTGCTGCTGCTGTGAAGGAGCTCCGAAGAGTGGAGGATGGTAGGGATGCAAACAGGCTCGGCGCTGGTGCAGCAAAACCCAGAGACGAAGTTGACCCCAACGCGGGAGCTGGCGGCCTCGCACTACCCATTAGTGCTGCGCCATCTAGTAAGCCTTGTAGAGAGCGATCGTTGCGTCTACTTTCAAGTAGGCGGCTCAATTCGACCGACGCCGCATGTCGTAGAAAATCGGAAGCTCTCGCTTCAGAATCCGCTCTCTGCTGGTGTTGTTGATGCTGCTGGTGTAACTGCTGCTGTTGATGCTGTTGTTGTTGCTGGACAGCCGCTGCAGCCGCTAGGTTGCCGAAACTACCGCCTAAACTAGCAATGGTTGCACCAGCAGGCTGAAGGGGTAAAGACACCTGCATGGACGGAAGCGATTGACTCACTTGCATGGCACCACCTGCACTTGCAGCAGCGGGGTTGGCATTGGCAGCAGCAGCCGCCTTGACCCTGGTCCGTTGCCGTTTGATTTTTCTACACAGCGCCCGCTTTCCTTTTTGGAAGTGTTGATGATAATATCCTATGTTGCATCAAAGGAACGTGCAGCAGTGTATGCTTTAGCAAGCAAATCGTCGTCACTACGTTGTCCACACATACATGCTGGTGAAGGGCACTTACCGCCTCGAAGTCCGCCCTCGTTGATCCTTTGGAATCCGTACAAGTTGAGCTGTCGTTGAAAGGATGCCAGCCGTGAAGTGCTGAAGTACTTGGGCATGATTTCCTAGGTCGTGACGGCAAGCAAAAAGTGAATGGTAAGGACCGAAAGCCCGCAAGAAAGACTGTCGTACATGCATGATTATTTACAAGCTTCCTTACCTCAACAAAACGTTTGGGTCTATGGACCAGGAAGACTTGGCCCTTGCTGGCAAAGGAAGCCACATCGGCCTGACCATTCGTTTCCACCTCGTAGAGCATTCGGTAAAGACGGAACGGAAATGTTTCATTGTTCAATTTGTGGCTGTCTTCGGTATCAAAATCTTTAAAGTAGTCATCGTCGTTGAGGTCGTCTTCATCCTGACAAAAGTCAGCAGAATCCGGTTGGCTGTTGTCGTGGGCATGCTGATCAACTTCTTCCATGGCAGCGCTGTCTTGGCTGGTGGATCGAGCTAGAGGTTGTGCGGATGCGGATGCCGCAGCGGCTGTCCCACTGCTTCCACCTAGTTCGTTGCTGTTGTCATTATCTAACAGCCGTCTCCAAATCAAAAGTTCGGAAGCAGAATCGGTGGCACTTTGTCCCCTTGCTCCTGCTCCTGCCTCACCAGCTGTGGATGATGTTAATGACGATGCATCTGAAAAGCGTTGCAGAAGCAGACGAGTGTTCCTCAGGGAGTCTTCCTGTTGCCTTAGGAGAGTTTGAGCTTGTAGGCAGGCAAGCTGGAATTCCACACTGCTGCTGTTGTTGCTGGCAGTTGTGCTGTTGGCAGTGCTGTTGGCAGTGGAAGGCAATCGGGCGACTGCCGAGCGAGGAGGCTCAGAGACTCCTGGAGACTGCGACAACCCCAAGCGCTGGAGGATTTGTGATTCGAGTGACGAGTCAGTGGAAGCTTGCGGTTGTTGTGGTTGCGTTTGTCCTTGTAGGGATGCTGCACTTTGTCCGACTGCGGTAGCAACATCGCTACTGTTGCCATTATTTTGGATTGCTGAAACAAGGCGTCTCATGAGCTCTGCGGACGAAGAGCTCTCATTGGGAGCAACAGCTGGAAGGCTGGGCTGTTGTTGATGAACCTGGGATGGTTGCTGGAAGCGAGCTGCTGGTGGAGCTGCCGTGGACGACCGTCTTGCCGGAGGTTTGCGATCGCCATCTCCCGATGATTGCTGCCCGTCGCCATCCTTGCTGTTTTGCCCTGAAGGGTCCATTGGTTGCGGCTGGGTTACTTTGTGCTGGCTGGCTATGAAATGGCTTTCGAGGTTCTCAGAGTAGTAGCTCTCAGAGTACTAGTATGCTGTAGTCTGAAGAGGAGTTTCATGCATCTGTGTCGGTGTTAATACAAAATACGGTTGGTCCTGGTCAAGCTACCAGCAAGGGCCAGCTCGTGTGGTTGGTGGGAGGTGCAGTTGCAGCTTTCGCTTGTGTCCTCTGCTACTGGAACTACGGCGCTCGTTGTAGAATTTCTCCCTCTGAATTTGCCCTGCACTAGAAACTCTCTAAGTAATGCACTGAAGCACGCGTGCCTTCAGTGAACAGTACTTGACACGACAGGTTACGGACATTTAGCCAGGACAGTTTGGAAGAGGGTGGAGGATGGAGGACACATCCTGGACTCCTCTCCAAATCGACAAAGACAAAAGAGTGCCATCGAAGCTTTAACCATGACCCCAAACACACTTGGGATTAGAACTCCAAATAATGTCACCATACAAGATTTGCAAGATTGTCGCAACTGTTTAGTACAGTCTTCTCCACTGAAATCAAAAATGTCCGAAGGGGCTCTTCAACTTCAAGACCAATAGATTACTCACCACAGCCTTGGCCTCTTCAGAATCCTACTAGTATTCCTACTAGACGTCATCTGTTTAGCCCACCTTCAATTACGTGGTTAGCTGCGGTTACAGCCTTTTCAATGTGCAAATATATGATGAAAAGAACCTACTAGTAATAATCTAATAATCCCAGAGCTACAATGTACCCCAGGAATTCAATCAATTCGGAGTTCGGAGAAAGTTTTCACTCTGGCACCAGGCGCCAGGCGCCAGGCGCTGGCAATCAGAATGGCATTTCAACTAGCTAGCAGTGGTATTAAGTCCACTGAGCATTTTAGCAGAACATATACTAAAACAGTACTTTTCGTCGTCCAATCATCCACTTTGAGGATCCAGTAAATGGCTAACCTTTCGACGGAAGAGAAAGAACTTGTTATTTCTGACCACTGGAAACGGTACTACTTCTGGCTTCTGGCTACAGTACAGGAGCCAGCGCTTGGCCGTTCCCCCGTCAAAAATGCATGGAGGCAATCCGAATATTAGGCTGTGTCGAAGTGTCGAAGTGTCGAAGGTCGAAGTATATGGCTCTGGCTACCAGGCCAGTAGCCAGAAGTACGAGTAGACTACATGTACGGTAGCATCCAGAATCATGTCCACCATGCATTCTGATCTCAACTGCCATGTGACTGAGCATCCCTAAAGGCAGAGGGATGGTGAGTGGTGAGAGCTGGTGAGATGGAGACTGGGATGTGCTGGAGCTTAACAATTGGGTTATGTAGACATCTCTCCCTTCTCCAGCAGATCTTGCCTCTCTTTCCTTTGCAGGCTTCCCTTTCTTCCTCTCTCGCTCTTTTTGGTTTTCTGTTGGCAGTTGGCAGTTGGCAGGCAGTGCAGGGTTGTGGGCTGTAGACTGTAGCTAGCTAGTGCAAAGGTCTGAATTCTGTTTCCAAATTCACAGCTTCAGTTGGACTCCTCGAGCTAGAGCATTGGCTACAAGTAGTAGAGTTCTTATCATGCGTTCTGAAAACATGCTATTAATTATATGTATTTTTAAGAAGACCAGGTAGTTAGCGAGCTGAATGAAAGTTGATAATGTGGCGTTGCTCTTGCTTGGTGCTAGTATCAAACAGATTCTTAGGATTTTCAAGATCCTAGTAGTCTCGGTCGCATGCAGGATGCATGCCCTCTTTCTTACCACCTCCTACCCCTGGTTTTCATGCTGGGATGATCTGCGTTCCTGCTGCTGTTTCAATCGCTGGATAATCAAGTCTGCCTCCTGCTCTTGCAACTTCTGTTGGAGCTCCTGGCTGGACAACAAATTGTTTGCCGGGCCCTGCTGCTGGCGTGCACTACTCACGTCCGCTAGCAATCCTCGTTGCAAAGCTTGCTGCAGCACAGAGTATCCCAGATCAGCACCGCCCGTGGCTCCGGCAGCAACTCCCACATTTCCAGAACCGCTGCTTGCGCCCGAAAGTCGTCCGAAAAGCGCGCTTGCAGGGCCTCCAAGGCCACTGCTGGGTGGATGCTGGTGAGCACTTAGAATGTTGCGAAAGTTTGGAGCATTATTCGATGCTGCTGCTGCCGCCGCCGCGGAGACACCCGGAAACCCAACTTGATTGGCCATGCCGAGAAACTGTTGACTCTGCTGAGGTGAAGCCAACGATGCTAGAGACCCAAACGATTGATGCTGAGACGCCTTCACTCGAGTCTTCTGGCGCTTCACCTTTCGGCAAAGGGGCCTCTTGTCTTTCCTGAAGAAATCGTGGCTGTATGCGCCTTTCTCCCTCCCTTCGGTAATCCTCCGAAAGCCATACAAGTTCAGCTGGCGTTGAAAGGAAGCGAGACGACAAGTAGTGAAGTACTTGGGCATGATTTCCTGAGAACATATGATTGTGAACGTATCAATATGCATTAGTTAGCACGATAATCAGATCAGGTCTTAAAAAGCATAAACAAATATCTGACTTACCTCCACAAAAGCCTTGGGCTTGTGAACCACAAAAGATTTTCCGTGTGGCAAGAAGGAAACAATGTTGTGCTTTCCAATCTTCTCCACTTCGAAGAGCATCCTGTAGAGCTTGAGGGGGAATGTTTCCTGAATCACTCGATTGTCATCCTGAGTGCTAAAGTTTTCAAAGTACTCTTCATCGCTGAGTTTGTCATCGTATCCTTCATCATCGCCCATCTCATCGTGATCGTTCATGTCCTTATCTTCGTCCGAGTCTGCCCTTTGGTTGGGGTCTTCCTCGGCGGCGGCCCCTTCGTCTCCCTCAGCAGCTGCTGCCGCCGCAGAAGAGTTGGAATTCACTTGAAACTCGGCCAACAAAGCTGCAATCCTGTCGTCAGCCATGCTGTCCCTTCTGCCGTTAGAAGACGGAAGTAATTGGCTCAGAGCGCCACTGTTGCTGCTGTTATTGGATCCACCCACTGCCGTCAGGACAGCACTTCCAAGGCTTCCCAAGACACTCTCCTGAGCAGCCTTTGCGGCTGACATGACATTCGTCGCCATTAGCAAGGGATGTTGCTGGATGTTCGAGCTGGAGGCACCATTCCCCTGCATCTGTTGCTGTTGCTCCAGGAGCATGCGCGTTGCTCTGAGCTTCTCTTCGTGATGTTGTAACAAGGCCTGGGCCTGAAGACTCACTTCCCTGGAAATCGCCGTGTTTGCCAAGAGTTGCGACAGGAGCTGCTGGGAAACCTCCTGCTGTTGAGGTGGCTGAAAAGGAGCAGCAGGTGCTGTTGTTGGCTGAGCGGGAGGTTGCGGCTGCTCGGATGGAGGGGGTTGCTGCTGCTGCTGGAGCATGGCCAGAATTGCTTGGGCTGAAGCATCGATCGCGTTGTTATCCACAGGTTGAGTGCTTCCTCGACGGGCCACCGCCGTTGTGGAATTGCTGCTGCCATGTGCACCCGATGAAGGGGCAGAAGCTCCAGGGGCAGAAGCTCCGGGTACCTGAGCGTTCCCGTTCATTAGCTGGGCCATGTAGGCTATCAAAGCTTCCTGGGAAACGTTGTTGTTACCACCGTTGTTGTTAGAGGCGTTGGTGCTGCTTGACTTCGCATCTCCCATGCCAGTATTCATCATGCTGCGCTGATGAGCTCTAACCAGAGTACAGGGTTGGAACGTATCAACGATCGGTTAAAAGCTCCTCTTGTGTGCCCTTAGTTGGTGAGGGATGTCCAGTGGTCACCAAATAGTGCTTCAGTGCTTCGCTTGACGAGCAGAATAAACAGCGAATGCAGGAGGATTTTTTGTGTGCTGTGGCTGTGGAAGTGGCCGTGGTTTTCGATTTCCTTTTACTGAGAGAGGCAACGGGTGTGTGCCATCTGTCCATCTCTGTGGTCGACTTCGAAGCTTGGAAGCTATGCATGTACTCCTGCCGTACTTCTACTGGAACTCTACCGGTACTGGTTAGTACTAGTAGTGAGTAGTATGTCGCCGGAACCACCCCGAATGAGTAACGAACTGAAATAGTATCCATTTCACCGAATTTGAACGCACTTTTCGATACCACAGATTACACCTCTGAGTCAGAAACTAAGACATTTATTTTGCCAATTATGTGCCAAAATGCGAAGCTGCAAACCTACTGTTATTTCATTGGTGGCGGTCATTCTGGAAATGAAAAGTTTCGGCCACCCAAACCGCAAGTTGAAGTTTTCGTTTCTGTATTCTTCCCCGCTCTTGGGCAACTCTTCCCAGTTTCTTCAACAATAACTTATAATTAAGTGAGGCCACTACGTTATTAATTAATAGCTCTATGTTCCATGGTCTACGAGACATAATCGGGACCAGTGAAGCCTGTCCCTGAGTCTACATACATGTATTGGCATGTGCACCTCCTTTTTACCTTTTTTAAGCAAGCAAAACTGGAAACCGAACCGTAAAAAGGCGTGAAACTTATGGTGAAATCGTATCAAATTAGTCGAGGTGGACAATGGTTCAATGGTTCTTTAAATAATGTCTGTACTGTTCTACGATATAGATACATCCCCCATTAAATCTATAGGTCGTGTCAATCTGGTACTGTCGAGTCTGGAGTAGTTGAGCAGTCTATTCGTCTATTCACATGCCTTTCATCTTTCATAGTTTCATACTAGTCACATCGGTTCCGAGGTGCGTGACAGGGACATTAGCGGCCCGGCGCGATCACAATATTATTATTATTCCACAACTCCTTTCGTTCCGAGGCTCAAAACGACACACTGGCGCTGCTGTGGCTGAATAGACGCCGTTATCTGCCTTGTTTTGGCTGTTAAGGTTCACTAGGAGTACCATGGAGTCCAGCTGGTGAGTGGCAGCACTCAGTTTGGTCGATTTGTTAAGTTTTTGGGGCTACAGAGACCAGAATTGTCATCGATTTCCGGCCACCCTCGGAACGATGGGTTGTCTCATCGCTAGTTCTGGTCAAATATGCTACCCAATGCATCCCACGTTGTTATAGGGTCAGTGTAGTCACGCAGTGACATTCTTGATAAGATGTAATAGTGAAACAATCAATTTCTAATACGATTTATATAGCATTATAAGTATTCCGTGCGAAGACGGCACCCATCACCCAACCGATTGTCCTCTCGGAAAACGGTTGACCAAGATGACGGCACCTTGCTAAGCAAACAACTCGAAATGTCTTTCCAGATGCCTTGATCACATACCCGTTAATAGATTGAATGAATCCGTCAGGAAGAGAGAGACTGTCGACGACATCTCCTCCGGCCGGAGCACTGTCAGCTGTCTTCATTTTGGTTGGATCTTTGTTGTAGCCCCCCCCCCCCCCCCCCCCCCCCCCCCCCCCCCCCCCCGCCCCCCCCCCCCCCCCCCCCCCCCCCCCCCACCCTCCCTTTTCTTTTGCGAGAACAGCTCATTGATGCTTTCGAACGTCCTTTCAATCTCAGGTCTGGATTGGAGCATAATTCGTCTGTAGATCGTGTGGGCTCTGTCTTCTGTCGATGTCATGCATTTCAGTGGGTCCCTACCTTTTCAATGCATTTGTGGGAAGACTCGAATCTCCTCCGAGCACCTTCCAAGCATTCCATTGGTTCGGACAAATTGGGGTATGTGAGTAACTAAGACATGCAGTTTGTTGAATATGGCAGGGTCCTCGTTGTCGCTCCAGCAAAGAAAGCGAGCTTGGCATACTCTCGTGCTGTTGATTCAAACTCTTCGCATTGTTCTAGGGACCACTTCCGCTGGCTCTTCATTGTCACTGACATCCAGTAGAGCAAGCTTGCGAGCTTCAGGTAGGTGTCCATCATCTTGTCGACAGCCTGCTGCATAGGAAGATTGTCGTCAAATACTCTCTTCATTCGATCGACTATTTTTTCCCTCCGTTCAAGCACTCGGATGCCATCCCCGTTGGATAGCTCAAACCCATTGCGACTGTGCACAATACCATTGTGCATTATAATCTAACGATTTAAGATATGTAAAGTTTGTATATTCCAAATAAGTTAGCAGTTACTGATTATTT